TCTTTGGGCCAGGGAGGAAAGGCTCCACTTATACCCAATCACCCAACAAAAATCTGTTTTTTAAAGATAATAGTTTGGGCCGACCCCGTGGCGCACTCGGGAGAGTGCGGCCCTGGGAGCGCAGTGCCGCTCCCGCTGCGAGTTCGGATCCTATATAGGAATGGCCGGTGCACTCACTGGCTGAGCGTGGTGTGGGCGACACCACACCAAGGGTTGCGATCCCCTTACCGGTCACAAAAAAGACAAAAAAATAAATAAATAAATAAAAAATAAAGATAATAGTTTGAATTTCTGTAGCTTGTTTTTTTGCATATAAAATGTTAAATTTTTGTTTAAGCTGTACCTTGAAAATAGTATTTTAGAAAAAAAGTATTTTTATTCAGTAGCAAGTACTCAAATTAAAACAGCCTAAGTGGGAACACCTAGAAAGGTGCAGGGTTGAGCAGAATGCAGGTTCAGATGAAAATTTTACTATGTGTAACAAAAAGTATTGCTAGGGAATGTATTTTCACGTTATAACTTAACTGCTTTCATAATTGAATTTAAGGTTTGAGATTCTAAAACACTAATATAACTGGTTTGACTGTAAAAATGTTGGTATTAACATTCTAACACTGCGTAATGATTATATTATTAGTAGAATAATCTAGTTTTAACATTAAAGGATCTGCTTTCTGCTGTAGTTTCCTTAATAATTTCCCTTTTTTTAGTGATTGCCTGTGCTTCCCTAATTTCTATAACCAAGCTGGAGTGGAATCCGAAAGAAAAGGTAACGTTCAAGTTGTTGTCTGTATGACCCCTGAGATTGGTTATTGCCATCACGATGTTTATATGAGACTGTGGTGGGGCGAAGCCTAGGAAGGATCACTGTCATATATTTTTCAGAACAAATTGCAAAATGTGGAGTAAATGTGGCCTATAATCAATGTACTGTCCAATTATTTGGCAATGTGTGTAGTGATTACCTGTCAGGATAAACCCAAATGGTTCCTGGAATTATTTTCAAAAATTTGAATTCCTAATTTCTTTCTTAAACACTTCAACCATCTATGCTTATTAAAAGAGTTTGGACATTTAAGGGTAGGGCGACAGTGTGAATTCAGATGTATGGAGGCCAGAGGAGGTGGGTCGTGTTAAGTAGAAGGGACAAGACCAGCTCCAGTGTAGTGGATAGTTCGTTTCAGGATACAGTGAGAAGTAAATGTAGTCACGGATAACTTTGCAAGGGAGTAGTGGCTTTAAGAGGCAGGCAAAGAGGTTCATACTTGACTTAGATGACCGCAGTCTTTTGAAGACTTTTGGACAGGGAAGAAAATTGAAAGTGTGATTAGGGGCCGGCCCGTGGCTCACTCGGGAGAGTGCGGTGCTGATAACACCAAGGCTGCGGGTTCGGATCCTATATAGGGATGGCCGGTTCGCTCACTGGCTGAGTGTGGTGCTGACAACACCAAGTCAAGGGTTAAGATCCCCTTACCGGTCATCTTTTTTTAAAAAAAAAAAAACAAAAGAAAAAAAAGAAAGTGTGATTAGACACATAATAGGCTGAAGCAACATCTGGGATGGATTGACGAGAGAGGTCGGCATTAGAAGGGCAGGTTGAAGGTAGTTCTACTAGTTAAGGTTTCAAATTAAGATGAGCCTAGATTGGAATAATGGGGGAAAAATATTTGATGGGCACTGGCAAGTGATGAATATGAGAAGGAAGGGGCATGATGAATCAAAATCAAGTTTTTTTATCTTGGGTAAACCAAAGAACTTGCGCCCATGAATAGACATAAGGTCTCTAGCAGGGGTAAATGACTATGTAGGTGGAAGTGGATGAGTTGAGGCTTTAGAATCATTGAATCTGAGGCTATCATGAGACATCAAGGAGAGTTGTCCAGTTAGAAATGTGGGACTAGACTTGTGGTGGGATTGCAAGTCATCAGAGGATGGGGTAGAGTGACCAGTAATTTCCAGACCAAACATCAGAATGCATGGAACTGAATGTTTGGAGTTGAGATCAACTCATGTAGTTAGATACCTGAAGTGGGGGCTCATCTAGATGCCACATAGGAGAGAAGAGAGCCAAGGAGAGAACAGCAGGAGACTTTTTTCCCCTAGGGGCAAGTGGAGGAATATCTCCAGCAAAAGAGAAGTAAAGGGGGAAGGAGAGTCATGAACCAAAGAACGAGAATTGTGTGGCATAGTCGACCTCACCGACTGAGTCGCTACCACAAGCAGGACTCTGCTGGGAGGGTGGGGGAAGGGTGGTTGTGGGATCCAGGGTCCCCGGGTGTCGAGTCCACCGCCGGCCGACCCGTACAGCCCTAGCCTCATTCCTTTCAGTGGGCGAGCAAACGGCCGGGGATTCCTCTTTCCCTCCTGTCCCCTTTGGAAGGAGACGGGGGAAGAGAGCCGTGAAGAGAGGTGAGCACACCGCAGGCCCCCCAGCCCAGTTAAAGAACACTCAGATGCAGGGGGGGTTCTGTCGAGCAGCAGTTCTGTTTATTACCACACAAGCACTGGCTTTTATAGGCAG